AACATGCTAAATAGATAAATAAAACAAATTGAATTAAAGTTGTTTATAGATTAAAATCGGAAGATCTAATCATCATCAAAATGATGACTTAAGCCACTGGAGATCTAATAGTGTTCATCATCTTCTAAATTATTTTCTTCGTGTTGGCTATGAGGTTTAAATATGGCTGAAAAAATTTGTTTTATTTGGGTATCAGTTCTCTTGAAGTCTTGTTCTCAATGTCTGCGCTTCACTGGAATTAAAGTTCTACTTGAGGAGGAAGCAGACATGAAGCTGGAAGATTCTAACACTCTTGAGATTGTAACTCCATGATGCTAATCAGATATAGATGAACCTAAAAAAAGTTGTTTTATCATATTATTTCTTTTTTTTTTTTTTTTATCTTTTAACAGTCTTAAAACCTTTTTACATTTATCTTTTTTACTTTTAATTTAAATTTTTCAAATTAAAACAGAATCAATTTAAATTATGTCACAAGACATGTTTTAAGACATATTTGTGTCCAAAAATAAACAAACTCTTTGTGTATTAATCTGATTTAAGTTGTAAATCATACTAAAAATTAACTTTGCTGCTGTTGTGATGGATGTAAACCAGACGAGCCACATTAGTTGGATCCAAAAAACTTCATACTGGAGTTATAAGATTCTCAGCTTCTAAAAAGGCTTGCTCTGATGTTGAAGAAAAAGCTAAAATGGAGAGCACAGTACAATCATTTTTAGACTAGTATTGAAATTGAAGGTAATTATGTTCCCACCAGCAAAGAACCTAAAAAAACCAACATTCTTTGACACTTTTCCTTTTAAGAAGGAATTCTATTCCATTAAAATAAGAGGCTTCTCATCTGCTCCGAAAATTGGGTCTGCTACGTCTACTCAATCTCTGAATACTTCATAATAAGGATCTTTTCACAGTTCACACTTCCTTTTAAACATTTTGTTGTGTTAAAGAGGCGTATTTTTCATATGAATTGAATGTTCTTCATAATGTTGAACATTCTTCATATGATTGAACATTCTTCATACTGTTGAACATTTATTAATGATTTCTTGCCTAATTTTTTTGAGTGTTGTTTAAAGAATTAATGGAGAGCCACACCTCATTAACATAAATCTATGTAGTTGGCTTCAGCAAAATATTTTTTATCGTAGCCATGATTCTTAAACATTTTTTTTAAGCTTAGGCAAAAAAACTGCACAGTATGTACATATATATACATATGTATGTATATAAATGTATATATGCATATATATAACTGCACAGTATGTACATATATGTATATCTTTTTGGAGTTTTCTTCTGTAATGCTCTTTGAGAAGATTTCGTGCTAGTTGGTCACTGAAACTACTTCATGAATTAATGGCTTGTTTATAGAGAACACTTGAGATTGCTGACAGTGGAACCTTGAGTGAGAATGATTTCACAACCACTGGAGAACGAATTCTGAGTGGATCCTGGCTAATCCTGAACTAATACATACCAGAATTTACACTTTCTCTCCATCACTTGATCAATATTAAAAGTTGCTAAACAACTTTTTTTAATTCGATTTTTACAAAAAAAGTACTAATTAAGTAAAAAAATAAAAACTAGAAAAAAAAGTTTTTTTTTAAATTAAAATAACAATGCCATTTGAATTTTCGTTTAAATTCACTGTGAGAAATACTTATTCTAAGTAGTTAATGACCGGGGCCAAAGTCGGATTTATGGTTGGGACTTATAAATATTGGTGCATATTGATATGATATATAAAAAGAAGTCAATATGCACCAATGTTTATGCAGTCCCGTTATTAATCCCGTAAGTAATCTTACAATTTAAAATTATAATGATAATGTATAAATGTAGGGCTGGCAGAACAGGGGAAGCTTAGCGGAATGCAGCCCCCTCACTTTTAAATGTAGAGGGTTTCGGTTTTACCTCTCCTCCCCCTGCCCATTAACCTTTAAGTCTGTTATTTCAAAATGTTTAATCTTGATAGCAGCAAATGACAGCAAATTAACGAAAAGCCACTGCAAAATTAGTTTTATTTTAAAATAATAACAATGATATGTTGACAGTTATGTTATCAGTTAACAACACTTTACCCTATAGGGTTAAGAAAATATTGAAGCAATTAAAATTAGTTTAAAAAAATTTGAAAAATATTTTTAACACCCTTATTTTTTTCTTCCGCCAACCCTTACTTTATGTATTATTTTGTTAAATTTTTCAATCAATTTTTGATATAATATTTAAAATGCCAAGAAAAATATATTTTTTATGAATTTAAATTTAAACAATAGCTACAAATATTTTTAATAGTTTAAAAATATACTATTATAGTTGTCTCATCTAAACATCTCATATCTCAAGCATAAATTTAAAAAAATAGGAAAAAATTAGGGAGATTAAAGGACATTCATGAGCAAATTTTAGGAGTTTATATATACACGTGTTCCTAATCTTAACTAACTGATATATTATTCATAACCTTTATACTCTCATTGAGCTGCATGTTTCAGCCATTCTTCTCAGTTTTATTCCATGAGAAGAATTACTTTCCGAGAC